CTCGTCGCCCTTTCTCACGCTCCCCCACGCTCTCTGTTTTGCAGACACCATCGATGAAAACCCCGAGCGGGTGTTAACTGGCCCAGCGCACTATGTCCCAAACGCGGCTTCCGATCTGCCGTCGCTGCTACTAAAGGGGAGCGAGCCCCGCTCCGCCTTTCGCCCAGCACCATGGTGGGGCAGAGCCCCTTGAGCCCCAGCGAGAGCGGGACCGCCGTCCTCCTGGAGCCCTTCGTCCATCAGGTGGGCGGCCACATGAGCATGATGAAGTACGATGAGCACACGGTCTGCAAGCCCTTGGTCTCGCAGGAGCTGAGCTTCTACGAGTCGCTGCCCTTGGCCATGAGGCAGTTCACACCCCAGTACAAAGGTAAGGGGAGACGCTGGGGAAGGAGCGAAGGGCCGGCAGTGTTGTCACCAGGATTAGTCCTGGGATTGGGATAAGGGACTGCTGGCTGCGCGGGAGGTACTGGCTGGCTCGGTCGGGCTGGGTCTGAGCTGTGGAGCCCCGTCACTCATGCAGGTTTTGTCAAGCACAGATGCTCCCCGGGTGAGAGTGTGCACAGGAGCAGGTCTGTGAGACTGGGAGGGTTTCCTGGGTCTCTGTGGCTGGGGGGAGTCTCTGGTGGCTCATAAGGGTTGAGCGCTGGCTGATGGCTCCAGGACATCCTCCCCTCTGCCCATCGCCTTGCTGCCATGGTTGGCCTTGGTAACGAGGAGACTCTCGTTATGTCAAATAGGACTGAAATTGGTCTGTTCCTGAGGGGGACGGGCATGAGAAGGTGAAGGCTGAGTGCATGAGCACGATCCCCTCCCGAGGAGCCGAAAGCCTGGGCAGCGCAGGAGTGGGACAGAGAGAGTAAGAAAAAGCACAGAACAAGGGGTAGGAATAGGATGGGGTTTCTCAGCACTGTTTGCCTTGAGGATTTTACAGGTCGTGGCCCCAGATAAGCTGATCTGATGGCATGTGAATGGTGGCACTGAGTAGGTGCAGGAAAGCAGGGATTAGGAGAGTCTTGTTCAAAACAGGATTCCCAAGATCTGACACATTATGTGCTCTGCTCAGTAGAGCTTTGAATTAGCATCCCCTGATAAGAAAGGTTTTCTGTACCAGGAGCAGAGCTCAGGGTGCCTTTGCACCACGTGTGGCCCCATTGCTCCAGGACTTGGTTTTAGAGGAGGTGAAGGTTTGTGTCAGAGGCAGAGAAGTCAGTGAGGGCAAGGAAAGGGTAAGGGTTGGCACTAGCACGAGCGGGGGGAGAGATAGTCCTTGGGGCCAGCATGAAGATGGTCCTTTGGGGCCAGCATGAAATACTGAGCCTGGAAAAATACTGAGCCTGGAAAAACAGCCCAGGGATGTATGAAGCATTGCTTTTGCTGGGTGCTCCACCTCAGCCAAGCCCTGCTCCCCCCCAGTGCTCCTGTAAGCACTGGTCCCTGGAAAACTAGAGGCACAAACCGCTTAACTTCTTAAAAATCAAATCCAGGCAGCTGTCCTGCCACAAGCAAGAACCTCCTGAGACAGGGAAGAGCCTCCCACCTGCCCCTCTGCTCGGTGCCCCCCATCACTGCCCAGTCCCCCCTTCAGTTTCCCTGTCCCTAAACTCTCCTTGCCCTGAACCACTTTCCCAGCTGAATTTCTGTTTAGCTATTGAAAATCAGCTCTTGGTGTCTGTGGGGGTCCTAGCATTTTTTTAAAGCCATCCTCCCTCCCTCCTTTTCTTATTCCCTCACTATTTCTGCTTTTACTGCCAGACTTGTGCTGCTCATAAAGCTCCTGACCCTGGATTTTTGCAAGAGGCGAGAAGCTCAGCTGTCACATAAAAATTTAAAATATCTTTTGGTCCTTCAGCATTACAGAAAAGAGCTCGAAGTGTCAGTCGTGGTTTCGATGCGCTTCCAATCCAATCTCTCCCTTTCCCAGAAAGTCAGGAGCCTTTGTAGATTTATGGGACAATATTAAAAGGATGCTTAATAAAGAAAACAAGTCTTCCTCTAAGCAATTTTCTTTAGTGGGGGCCAGGGTTCAGTGCTGGAGAGCTGGGCCCTGCTCTGTCTCTCTAATAAAGATGTTAAGCAGTCCCAGCTTATCAGTTCAGGGGTGGCCCGGTTATTAATACCTTTTAGTCTGCTTTTTCTCTTCTACTGCAAATCCCAGTGAGTTTTGAGACAAGGGGTAATTAAATAGCAATTCTTCTCCAGTTTGGCATTGGGCACACACATTTTTTTATTCTGCTTATAACCGGCCCAGCCCTGAACGCCCTGAAGGCGAATGAAAGAGGTGGAACATTTTCCCATGAGGGTGATGGGGGCGGTGAGCATTGCGGGGAACAGCCCTGAGGTCTTCATCACCCTCTCACACGTGGCCATGTTCCTCATCTCTATTCTTAGGCTGCAGGGCGGGATGGCTGGGGGACCATTATGTAATGATGACATTATGTGCAGTGTTGATCAAATGTCATCATTCAAACCTAACACCAAGGCGGCTGCTTAAAAAATGTCTACCGCTCACGTAACCGTTTCAGACAGGTTGGTGACCTCGGGACCGGCTTTCCCCCACCAACCCCTCGCAAACCTCTGCCTGCCCCAGGCTGAGCTTGCAAAGGGATGCCGGACTTGTTTTCAAGCCCGGTTCTGCTCAGATTCCTATTGCACGTGGCAGTAAATAAATGCACTTGTAAACTTAAAAATAAATCCATGAGGGCAGAGCTACATAGCAAAACGTTCCTGAGGATCACTGGGATGCCACTAGCGTGGTGACAGCACCCGTAAATACCCGCTGGCTGCCTCGCCAGCTTGGGACAGGAGGGGAATTGAGGTTTTGGTGACACTAAAAGGCCAGCAAAGACAAGTCCCTAAATACACCTTTGCTCCCAGATAGATGTTTTCTTATTGCAATAAAAGAGAAGGTCGGTAGGCATGTGTTGCAGATTTGTTTTGCACACGTAGGTCACTTGCAGGATATATGCAAAACCCGTACGGAAGCACACCAGGAAACAAAAGTATTTTTCAGGCTGAGACATAGGTTTATGAAGGCAGAGTTTTCAGCTGGAAGGAGTGAGAGGATCACATTCCCTTGCAATTTAACGGCTCATTCTTGCCTTTGAAAATCTCCCCATTAATTTTCATATTAATGTAAGATACTTAAGAACTCTTAGTTTCATGCTATATATAACGTTTTTAGGGCCAGATTGTCAGCACTATGTAAATCAGCACAGCTCCATTGACTTGCAGATATGTAATTGGGACAGTTTTTAAGGTTACAGGCTGCTATAGCACTGTAACTGAGGCGTAGGGCTAGATTTGGAATTGAGGACTCCGTTCGCCTCGCAGTGACTTTTTAAAAATAAAAAGGCTTTGATTTAGGCAGAAGATACGCTGGCTTTTTTTCCTGCCTACCTCCCCTGAAAATTCAAAGGAAGCATCCGAGCTGATAGGAATTTTTCTTGCTCTCAGTTATCCGTAACATGGATTTTTTCACGAATGGGACTCAGCAAAAGATCAGGTGGGTAACATCGGAGCCTGAGGACGACAGAGCTCCCTGTGCTCACCATGACCATAAGCAAAGGACTAAGACAGCTAGAAATATTACTTACCCCCTAATTAAGGTTTCCAACCCCCCCAGCTCCCTTAGCAAAGCAGCCTGTGTGTATTTCTCCCCCATTTCAGTGCAAAATTAGCTGATTTAACTGAGCCCGCTATGGCACGCTGTTCAGATTAATGCCGATTTTACAGCAAAAGGGAACAGAAATGGCTGTGGTGCCTGAGCAGAGGGGCCGTATGGAGGGCGGGAGGGTAGCGCATCCGAATACAGCTGGAGCTGCAGGGTTATGGGGAGCAGGACCCGGGGAGGGATGGGCACCCCGAGTCTGACGGAGGTGGCCGGTGGCTGCAGACACACGGGGCTCCTGCAATTCGGGCGGTGAAAACCTCCTCAGTCAGCAAAACTCAGCAGGCAGGACTCTGTGCACACACAGAGAAGGCAAATCCTTCTGTCTGTGTTTACTTACTATAATCTCACTTTAAATGGAGAGAAGGGAGTTTGCGTATTTATTCGTTTTGGCAAATTTGCTTGGGAGACAGAGCTCCCTTGTTTGTTAAGCTGCCAAAATGTATCTCCTTGCAGTGCCCAACAGACCAAGTGAGGGTATCTTGGGGAGAGTTGGATAAAACCCAGCTTCATGTCTTGCTAACGGACAGGGGAGATCTTTCCAGTGACAAGTTTTGCTGGTCCAACAGCCTTGACCATCCTCTTGGATCTGCCTTACTGCAGCTAGACGTGAAAGCAGCAGGGTACAACCCATGTGGCTGGCATCCCCTCTGAGACCCAAAGGGCGATGCTCTAAAAATGCCTCTGCTGCCTTGAGAGGCTCAGACAGCCCTGACAGAGGGCTGCGGGAGCAGGACTGCTGTTATCAGCCTTTCCCAGAAAGGTCAGAGCCGTCTGGTACGTGCTCCGTCATTTGAAACGAGGAGGCAGCCGTCCCCATGCCAGGGATGGGCTGAGACTGGGCTAAATATGTGATGGGCTGAATGGCATTTGAGTCCTGTGATTGCCGTCAGAGTCAGGGAAAATTGCAATGCTAAAATACACAATGTTTTAAGCACTTATGGTGGAAAGTAATAATCCCCGTTCACAGTCGTGCTCCTCCTCATGCATGAACATCGGACATGTGAGGGTCGGGCCCCCCCCATCGGCTGTTTGGGTGCTGGTCCTTGGCGCCTGGGGAAGGACACAATAATGACAATGTACAGGCATCGCGTACACAGGCAGCGCTGCCAGCCCATGCACATGCCTTTGCCCTTGCTCCTGGGGGCTCTCCAATTAAAGGAAGCAGTTGGCATGCTGGTTATCTTTGGAAAATTCCTGGTCCCCAACCCTCCCTTTGCTTCCTGCCAATGAAAAGCATTTCCAGCCTTGCCGTTGTCTTAAAAAGTGAGACCTAAATCCCATGCCATAAATAAACCCGGAGCTCTGGGTCCAATGCAGGGGTCTTTGCTGGGTCACTTGTGGCAGAGCAAAGACCGGAGGGATGGACGACAAAGGAACAAGATGTTCAGAGGAGGCAGGTTTCAAGCCAAGCCTTGAGAGGAGGGTTCATTAAAAAATTTCCAGCCTTGCCGTTGTCTTAAAAAGTGAGACCTAAATCCCATGCCATAAATAAACCCGGAGCTCTGGGTCCAATGCAGGGGTCTTTGCTGGGTCACTTGTGGCAGAGCAAAGACCGGAGGGATGGACGACAAAGGAACAAGATGTTCAGAGGAGGCAGGTTTCAAGCCAAGCCTTGAGAGGAGGGTTCATTAAAAAAGCCTGTGGCTGTTTTCCAGGGTCTCAGACTAATGGTGTTTATTGGGCCTCAAATCAGAGTGGGATCAGTGTGAGAGGCCATGAAAATACAAGGAGGCAGCTGCCCTGCTAAGCGTCCGCCCTCTCAGGAAGGCTGGACCACCTCAGGCTGGTGCAGATGGTGACCAAGCCTGTATGGTAACCCACGGGTTGCTCTCATTCTGGTTTGTTTTTCCCCCTTTTTGTCCAGGCATCGTTTCCGTGCATCTCAAGAAGGACAGCCTGGGCAACCTGACCCTGATCGCCAGCCCCAGCCTGCAGACGGAGAGCCGTGGCCGGCTGGATAATGCCATCGGTGACTCCTCGGTGACAATATGGCACAAATGCAAGTGGGCTGCCAGCACCGGCACCGGCAGCGAGCACGCACTCGTCACGTGGAGTCACACGCAGCTCACCAAGACCTTCAAAGACAGGTGAGGGTCTGCTGCTCCCTGCAAACATCCTCCTGGTCCTCGCCTGCTGCTTTGGGAAAGGTCTAACCAGGATGGTTTTGCTGGCACAACTCCTGTTTTAAGGGAAAGTGAGCAAAAGCAATGCCCAGCCAAGGTGAAGAAAAGCAAAGCCCAGCTTGGTGGCTTCATGGTTCATCTCTTCCCCAGCTTGTGGATGGAGCGGGGCAGAGCAGGCTATCGCTGAGATGCTGTTGCTCAAATACGTGCCTCAAATTCTGCTTTAAACCCGTTTCCTCAGAGCGCAGCACGCTCCAGAGGGAGGACAGGCCCCATGAGAACTGCCACCAAGCACCCAGCACGTAACAGGTGGTAACCAGCTGGTACCCAGCCAGAAGCAGCAGCCCCGAGGTTGTTCGATCCTGTCCTCGTCCCAGGGGAGAGCTGTCTCGGAAAGGCATTGCAGCGCTTGCAAGCACACCGTGACCTTAGGGCTCGCAGAAGCTTTCCGCAAGACATCTTTCATCTCAAACCGGTTCAGAAAAGACTTAGGTCAGCTATGACTGAAGGGTGCAATATTGCTACCGTGAAAACGCTGCCCTCGGTGTGATGGGAGTTATGGTTTTTGGATGAGCGAGACCAAGGAATGACCCTCCAAAGAGAACAAATCTCCTGGTCGCTCCCTCCCTCCCCTCCTCGAAGCCAGCCCCTTTAAACTGAGACTCATTCCTATTGTTGGACAATTTGCCTGTGTTGTGCCTGTTAGGTAGATAAATAGAGATTCCTGGTCATTGGCGCTATGAATGGCGCTTTTCACAGGAGCCAAGCACACCTGGAAATTATAATGAAAGAAAATATTGGCACCCAGCAATAGCTGGCTTTCTGAAAATTACTTTTATGGTGTAACAAAGGATCTCCACAGGTTGGACATGATGAATATGTTTCCTTTGAGAGTCCCTGAAAATTTACCTTATCAAGTTTGAGGCTCTACAAAAGAGGAGGGGAGGGAATAATCTCTTCTGGAGCTTATAAACCAAACGTGTTCTTTTGTGTATTTTGTCTAGCTGCCCGGGGAAGATGCTATTGAGGACAGATCTTCAGTACCACACAGATTCACTTTTAGAAGAGGCAAACCGAAACCAGCCGGAAAGAAACAGCTACAACCCCTGGGGACTGCACTGTCACAGGCAGCACCTGAACCGCATGTCATCCAAGCATAATGAGAACAAACTTCATCGTATCCTTTTTCCTCTCTCCCCTCCAGCATAGTCTTGGCTACAAATAACAGCTCATAATCAATGTATGTTTTATTGCAGGGGGTATGCATCCCTCCTCTGCCCAGTCTGGGAAAATACAGAAATACAGAATATACAGAATACACAGAATATAGTTGCTCTGTTATCTTCTCCCACTGCTCAGTTGGATCAGATGATCATTGTAGGTGCCTTCCAACTGAAATATTCTATTCTAGTCAAAAAAAAAAAAAAAGAAAAAGAAAAAAAACCACTTCCCATAAAGGGTATTCAGCACAAGTCAAGGATCCCCTTGGCATACATTTCAAAACACAACTATATAGGAATTAGCAGCTGCCTCGCCTTTTATTTTCCTATTACACTTCATTACCCACCAGTCATGTGAGTAATACAGCTTAACAACTTCTCCCACACCCACTGGAGTGAGTACGGCACCGAGGCAAGGTGTCGGATTGACAGCCCAGGGCTATCGTGTCACTGGAGAATGGAGCTGTTGGTGCTTTAATTGGTAGGACTGTACTACAGTAAATTAACTGAAATTGGCAGCAAGGGGCCGATAGCAATGACATGTTGGTAAAATTGGCTCAGAAAGTCTCATTACAGTTGTGAGCTATTATGGAGAGCGTCAGCAGTTGCTCTGATTTAAGACCTGTTTCAATTAGAATTTAAAAGTATTTGGTTTCCCTTAACTCATGTTCAGAATTTCTATTGCTTGAAAATGTGGTATCAAAATACAGCTATCCCTGCATCCTGGACTTAAAGATGGGAACCCGGCAGCATGGCGATGATGCCTCGGAGGAGAAGAAAGCCCGGCACATCAAGAAGTGCGAACAAAGCACCTCTGCCTCTCTGGGTGTTCGCATCTGTGGGATGCAGGTAAGAGGGAGCCCTGGTCCTTTTGGTGTTTGCCTGATGCACGGCTTGAAACTAAGCTGGAAATCTAAAGGGACTCTTTCCTTTGTCGGTGTGAATTGAAGCAGTTTCATTCCTGTCTCCCTGCAAATACAGGCTGTAAGGACTGGCCACTCGGCTGTGTGCTCTGTCCTCAAACAGGAGATGAGCCTGGGGGAGAGCACAGAATATGGCACATAGAGGGCAACCCTTGCCCGTATCCCCTCATTGACTTCTGGAGATTTGGCTGCTTTCGCAAGCGGTGGCTGCATAAGCACCACCCCGCACCACTGCCACCAGCATGAGCAGCTGGAACCAGTTTACCCCGGCTGAGAATCTGTCTGCACATGAACACAGACTCCCCTCTCATGCTCAGCTCTTGGCTGCTGCACAAAACCCAAAAAAAGCATCCCTCGCCCCACTCATTCCTTTGCGGAGCTGTCTCATCCTGTTGCTGCAAGAGCAGGGGTTTATTTTGTGCTAAATATTATGGTTCCTCTTGCTCAAAATCGCTGCCCTTCCTCCTAGAAACCCAAACCATGCATTTGTTTCACTCACATTTCTCAAGCAGGTTTCAAAATGTTGTTCTGCTGTGCCTGAAGGGTAATTATGACAATGATGATTATAAAGCACATTTATAGCAGCATAAACACTCGGTGTCAAAACCTGTGTCCCTTTCTGGTCTCTGACATCCTTCTGTTGAGCAGATTATCCTTTAAATTATAACTGGCGTGTGAGCTAATTCTAAATTCACTCCCTCTTTTCTTACTCAGTGTTACCAGAGCCTCACATACAAATTTCTGTCTACATCTTGTCTCTCTGCGTTTAAGAAAGCAGGATTATTGCTACCCATGCATTACGTAGTGCGAGAAGATGCAAAGCTGGGGTGGGGTATTCCTGCAAACTCCTACCGTAGCCAGAGGCAAAATGCTGTAAATCACCAGTGACATGGCTATGACTTACAGCGATTTGGATTTCACAAAGGGGTAATTTATAGCAGTACAACAAGAATCTGCACTAGTGGTTTAAATTGAATAGTTTAAATCACCAGAAAAGACAGGAGGTGGGATTCAGTGAGAAGCCTGCAGTACGGTGCCAGCTTTGCTAGATATTGCTGGACTGCAGAGGATTTGTGTCCCGTTTCAGCTTGGGTCTGAACTTTCATATTAGGGCGAAATCTAGCGCTTTGGAAAAACTGAACTGAATCTGGATTGTTGCTCTCTTTCCTCAAGGTTTACCAAGCGGACACTGGCTATTTTCTCTGCAAAGATAAGTATTACGGCAGGAAACTCTCACCGGAGGGGTTCAGGCAAACCTTGCGCCAGTTCCTGTGCAACGGTAACTACCTCCGAACAGATCTCCTGGAGCCCATCATCCTGCGACTAAAAGCTCTGCTTTCTGTCATTAGGAAGCAAAGCTCTTACAGGTTCTACTCCAGCTCACTTCTCATCATTTATGATGGACAGGAGCACAAGGAGAACACGGCACCCTTGGATAATCACCTGCACTTCCAAAAAACAAACTGCACCACGTCACATGGCACTAATCACTCCAGAGTTGATGTCCGCATGATAGACTTTGCCCACACCACTTTCAAAGGCTCCAAAAGCAATCACACCACTTACGATGGGCCAGACCACGGCTATATTTTTGGCCTGGAGAATCTCATCAAAATCCTTCAGAATATCTCAGAAGGAAAATGACAAATTCTGTGAAATAGCCTGGATTTACTAGTGACCGATAGCTCTGAAAAGTACCGCATTGGGTCAGTTGTATGGGACCCTCACAGCTGCCGGATGTCACGTGCACGGTTTGGAATGAGAGCATGGACAGCTTGCTAGGAAAGTGCAAAAAACGCTACGTGCCATTACTGAACTCAAGCGTAAAAAGCAAAGAGCTGAAAGAATCTGTTCTGCCTGCAATCAATCAGAAGATTTATTTTCCTTTCTTGTTTTACTGCTGTCCTCGATTTATTTGAGAGCCAAAAGAAAGCATTACTTGAAAGAGTCTTAATGATAAAATAGGACCTGCTCACCTCTACGCTCACGAAGCCAAGCGGGCTAAGGAGATATTGTGCATTTGAGTGAGACTATTAAAATGAGCTGGCAAGTCTGAGCAGATTGCAGTATTACTTTCAACTCATGCTCAACGCTACCGGCTGAATGCAAAGACACAAGCGGGAAAGAAAAATGCGCACCCTGACATCCACGCTCCACAGGCCCAGCGCTGCGAGACAGTCGGGTGTTCTCCATACAGCACGGGTATTGAAACACAGAAGCACGAGACGCTGCAGAGGTTCTGCGCTGCTGAAGGTGTAAAAGCAGGGGGACCTCAGACCAAGAACCGGACCTTGTGAAGGTTTAATATCCCTGCAGGATTATAACAGGGCATGTTTCAGAAACTTTCTAAGCAAGGGGCTCTGCAGGGGCAGGAAGTATGGGAACGCGATGATCCGGTCAGGTATCAGTCACAAAAAACATTCGCATCAAGGTATTTTTGCTTAAAAAAAAAAGAAAAAAAAAAAGTAAAAAAAGTCTGAGATTGAGTCAGGGACTAGACATTAAAGGTCACCTAGAAATTCTTTGATACAAATATTGCGTGTGTGTTTGGAAGAGACGGTAACAAAAGACTCAAAATAATGTTTACAGCTTTTGTGGACAGATTTTATTATTACGGAACAAACATAATTCCTTCCTGCATGGTGTGGGAAACCTGAAAGAGAAGTCCTTGCACAAGGAGTAGAGCTACAGAACCCCATTACTGGGGAGTGGGGATATAAATAAAATTGTCTATGTAACTCCCACCTGTTGCCCATCTCTTTTTCACTTCCACAGCATCCTTAAGTTATGTCACCTTTTGTTTAGGGCTGTATGTTTTGAAGAAAGCCATTATTTCCACAGGTTTAAACACCAGATCTCAAGGGAGACCCCTTCACTTGTATTTTACTGCATGCAGCTGGTGAATTGCTACAATTTATAGCTGGGAAATTTAAGTCATCTGGCCCAGTTGCATATTTTACTTGGCCTGAAGTCCATCTGGGAAGACCTCATTATTTACGGGATATTGTTCACAGTGTTACATATTTCTCGCCCGCAAACTCAGATGGCTATAAAAAAAAGCCACAGACACCGCTTGGGTAGTGAAAGGATTGAGTCATCAATTGCCCTGGCTCACACGCGTGCACCCGCGGTCCTGCGATCAGCGCTAATTGTGGCTGATGGCTGCCGGGGTTTATAGAGACCCACCTCAGCACCTGCATCACTGCTGAGCCCCTTGCCGGATGCGTGCACCGGGACATCGGGTCCAAAAGCGGGGAAGGCGGGAGACAGGGCCAAGCATGCCAGCAGCAGCTGAGCATGTGCCAGACCCCCTCATCAGCAGCAGATCACCCCTGTTGGCCGCACGACTCATCTGCCATTGCTCCTCGAAAGAAAACGGCAACCTGTTGCTTGCATAGTGACAGAAGGCATCCCACTCCCCACCTTTTCACGCCTTTTATACAAGCACATAATTATCAAGCATTTAACCATTTGCCCGCCAAGAGGAGAAGCTCTGAGCCAGCATACCACCTTACGTACTCCACATAGAGAGGAGGGAAAACAGGCAAGACTTTCTAGGTTTTAAAACGGCCAGAAGCCAAGCATTAAGGTAGCTATTACGTGGTGCACTGCTGGCTGCCTGGCCCGGGTGTCTGCAGCACCGCAGGAGCGAGATCCCTTTGCCAGCAGCACAAAGCACGACGCTTGGCAGCGCAGGCAGCAACCTAGCAAATGAACGGGCAAAGCCAGGCTGCTCACCAGCTGCTTTTCAAAAGCACGGGGTAGGCCG